ACCACCTGCTGTAAGGATGGTCATGAGGACTAACAGAGCTAACATTTGCTAAATATGCCTAGCACAGATAAAGGAAAGGCGCTCAATAAATGATAATTACCATTATTATTATTAACAAAAATAGCAATAATTATTTTCATTAATATAAGAAAAAGAATGGAGCTGAATTACAAAGTAATCATGGGCCAATTGGTGATTTTCTCAGTGACCCAGATAAACAAAAGTAGCTGCCATATTTCGGAGGATGAGAACAATAAAAGGGGAGAATGGGGAAAAAAAACAAAAACAAAACCTGAAAGAGAGGAGACGAAAATGGAGAAGGAAGAGAGAAAGGAGAGGTGTTCTTACACATTGCCATTGCCAAAAACAAGTTTGAAAGCTTTTAGACAACGTGAAATTCAATCACTTGTTAGTCTTAACTCTACTAAAATATATTTTTTAAAAAGACTCTCTAGCCTTTTTGGCACTCATTTTCCCCAAAGCCTCCCAAAATAATCACATGTAAGAGCCAAATAAACACCAAATTTCAACCTCTCCTTGGCCCAGAGGATGCCAGGCTGGTGTTCTATTACCCAAAGTTTTTTTTGGAATTGGCATATTCAAATTCAGACCTTCATCTTCCTTACTCTAGAAGAGGGAACAGACAATGTGGATTTTTTATTAAAAGAACCCGTTATTGTGTAAATACTATGTGCTACACGTTTTACCCAGAGAACCTCTAACTCTTTTAATAGCCCTGAGAGGGCTTATGGATGAGGAAATAAGGCTTAGGAAGGTAAATAATTTGCTCCAGGTTCTTGTAGACAGCACATGATGGAGACACTGAAACCAGGTCAGTCTGACCACAAGGACTTCCCTCTTTCCTCTATGCTTAATGTAAAGACTCATTGCCAAAACTGATAGAGAAAGGGAACTAAATGAAATCGCTAACACCTTTAAAAAGCTTTCTCAGCATTGTGTTACAAGCTTTCTCTACAATAACCCCATGGAGCAGGTGTTGTCATTATTTCCATCTATAATCAAGAAAGCTCAGAGGGGCTCCTTGTTTCACCTTAATATGCAAGTAAAAATACAGAAGGGAGAAATATTGAGTAAATAGGAGAGAGAAAGATAGATGCAAGCTGTAAGTGGGCCAGGGGAAAGGGCAACCACCTTTGCAAGAGGAACCTGGTACCCCAGGTCCACAGGCTTTGCTCTCTGGAAGAGAGGGAAATGGGAAGGGAGGTCTCTGAAGGTGCTCACAAATATGGGGTGAGTGGGGGAAGGGGATGATTAACTTATACTAATGAAAATAGAATGAGTCATGAGTGTCACAGCCAATAAAAATGGCAGGGATGACCAGACAGCCAATAAATCATTTCTGAGCATTAAACTTTCTGCTTCCTCAAGGTTTGAGATTGTCAAAGGCAAGGCCAGAAGCCCCCAAGCATGTTCTGATAAGTTAACAAGACGCTCTCCACTTTGTGAACCCAAAAGTATCTGAGACAGATCTCAATCAATCTAGAAAGTTTATTTTCCCAAGGTTAAGGATGCACCCATGACACAGCCTCAAGAGATCCTGATGACAAGTGCTCAAGGTGGTCGGGGCATAGCTTGCTTCTATACATTTTAGGGAGACACAAGACATCAATCAATACATGTAAGGTTAATACTGATTTGATCTGGATGGATGGGCAACTCAAAGCAGGGGCTTCCAGGTCATAGGTAGATTTAAAAATTTTCTGATTGGCAATTGGTTGAAAGAGTTATTATCAATAGAAAAGAATGTCTGGGTTAGGATAAGGAGTTGTGGAGACCAAGGTTTTATTATGCAGATGAAGCCTCCACTTAAGCTTCAGAGAGAATAGATTGTAAACATTTCTTATGAGACTTAAGGTCTGTCTTGATGTTAGTGTTAGTTGGCTTTTCCTGAATTGTAAAAGGGAGGACTGTATAAGGAGGAATGTCTGACCCCCACCTTCCCATCATGGCCTGAACTGGTTTTTCAGGTTAACTTTGGAATGCCTTTGGCCAAGAGAAGGGGTCCATTCAGATGGCAGGGGGCCTTAGAATTGTATTTTTTGTTTACAACTTTTAAATTCAAAAAATTCATTAGGCCCTTAAAACACTTCCCATCTCTCACTCAGAGTCACATCCTACTTTCATGCATATTCTGTTAGGCAGTGTTATCCAAAGGCACCTGATCATATACTACCTGGGCACTTGTTAACAAACAAATTCTCACATCTCCCATGGAGATTCTGATTCATTAGGTTGAAAACTAGAAGATCTGGGGATATGCGTTTTGAAAAAATCATTCAAGTAATTCCTATAATCCAACTAATTTGGAAAAATTGCTTTAACAGGATTCTCACAAGAAGTTTGCAAGATAGATATAACAATCCCCATGCTATAGACAAAAAGAGTGACACTCAAAGAAGGGAAGAGATTTGCCCAAGGTCACACAACTAGTGTGGTAAAATCAAAGCTGGTAAGTCATATTGTGAGTCCACTGTGTGTATGCATGCCACCACACTTAACTCTATCTGAGCCACAGCTAGCTTCAAAAAGCCCTCTCCTTGGTCCCTGAATATGGCACTGGAAACCAGGAAATGGGACACAGAATACCTAGAGCCATCAGAAAGAATCAGGGAGGCAGTCAAAGTGCTGAGTACAACATCAAAGAAAAAGAGAAGGAAAGTCAGGTTCTCCTCCATCTCTAGTTCCAGCTTTGAGTCCTCTGGGTTTGCAGGCCAATGGGGTATTGCCTATATACATGACAACTAGCACTGCTTGACTAACAAACAAGACCATTTGGCCAAAATGATCAAAACATTTCTTTCATGGATATACAATGATGGAAAAAACCTAGAGAAAGATTCTCTCAGAAATAACTTTGAACAATTAACGTCACACCAAAAGAGGAATGCCCAAGATGATATCTTCACCTACACACTGCCCTCCCCACTGGTGATAACTATAATGGTGACTAATTATACCTTCCAGGGTAAAGCTCACACCACTCATCCAGGGATCTCCTGCCAGAGATGGCATGTACCTGAGGTTTGCAGAGGCCATTTTCACAAGCACATGCATCTCTCTGCCCCGGGACCTTTGGCTAATGATTGTTTAATCGCAAGGAGGTTCGGGGTTGCTGACATTAAGAATGACATGCTTGTGAAACGTTCTCTGCTATCTCCCTGCTAGAAGCCCCTGCTGCTGAATTATCACACCCTATCAACTCACTACAAAAAAAAAAAAAATGAGATAGGAGAAATGGTACTGCTATTTCCGGCTTCCCTTGAGTTTAAACAAGAAGGAAAGAGGGAGGATTTGGCCCCTCTCTGAATAAGCTGATTTTAAGATACAATACCTGCCTCTCCTATTATTAGAGGTTTATCTATCCTCTGGGAAATGATTTCCTTCCTCACTGGTTTGTTCAACCCAGATTCTAAATCTTTTTCAGATGAGAAGACCTGCCCTGACCTTATACATCTCCTTAAATCTGAGGTCATCATGACAAGAGGCTTGTCATACTTAGAGATTTCATATCCAATCTGTCTATATATCCCCAAACATACACTCACTCTGTTAATTATAGCAGCCACAATTTCACACTCAATGAATATTTTATACAAGTCTCTGTTGTGTAGCAAATGCTCTATTTTTAACATTCATAATTTACCGAAAAATAGTTGTTGACTTCAACATATATACTTCTACAGTATGGGATAACTGAGGTACATTTACATAAAAAGCAAACAAGTATATAACACATCCATCCAATTAAATCAGCTTCCTTGAATCTCCTAGTTAACATTAGAGGCCAAAATACACATACACACACACACACACACACAGATGAGTTATACATCCCACAATGACATTCCAGTCAATAACAGACTGCATATATGACAGTGGTCCCAAAAGATATTAATGGAGCTGAAAAATTCCTATCACCTAGTGACATCTTGATGATCCTGACCCTGTGTAAGCCTTGGATAATGTGTATGTTTGTATCTCAGTTTTTAACAAAAAAGTTTAAAAAGTGAAAAAGAAAGTTAATAGAAAAAAGCTCATTGAATAAGAATATAAAGAAAGTATTTTTGTACAGCTGTATAATGTGTTTTTGTTTTAAGATAAGTGTTATTACAAGAGTAAGAAAGTTTAAAAGTTTATAAAGTAAAAAATGCTACAGTAAGCAAAGGACAATTATTAAACAAATTTTTAAAATAAATTTAGTGTAACCTACATGTACAGTGTTTATAAAGTCTATAGAAGTGTACAGTAATATCCTAGGCCTCTGCATTCAATCACCACTCACTCACTGACTCACCCAGAGCAACTTCTAGTCCTGCAAGTTTCATTCATTATAAGCGCCCTATGTAAGTATGCTATTTTTTATCTTTTACATTGTGTTTTTATTATATCTTTTCTATGTTTAGATACACAAATAAGTACCATTGTGCACAATGGCCTACAGTATTCAGTACAGTAACATGCTCTACAGGTTTGTAGCCAAGCAGCAATAGGCTATACCACACAGCCTAGGTGTGCAGTAGAATACACCATCTAGATTTGTGAAAGCATACTCTATGATGTTTGCAACAATAATGAAATTGCCTAACAACACATTTCCCGGAATGTATCACTGTCCTTAAGAAACGCATGACTCTGTGTGTGTGTGTGTATGTGTTTATTTTTTCCTTTTATTCATCATGTAAAAAGTGCCTTTGGAAAAACCCACATTTCACTCTGGATTTTTTGCATCTCTTTCAAACGTGAACAATTTTAATGAATGGTCTTCACCTTGGATACTCACATTCCAGGGCTAATAGGAACAACAGTGTTTGGGCATGTGCAGTGGAGGTGGAAGATAGATTCAAGATGTTTCAAGTATGCAAAATCACATGCAGATGTACCAACAGTATATCCAGTCAAAGAGAGTTAAGAAAGCAATATATACACAGACATCCGAGAATGGAAGAATGCAAACACAATCCAACTTGTAATTAACATACCGTGCTGTGACACCTGTTGCCTTCCATGATAAGAAGTCTGGGAGATCAAAGAAATGTCCCGCCTTATCCCAGCAAGTCTCTCTCAAGTTCTGCCAAATTAAATATATATTAGAATCAATTATGGGGTTTTTCTACCATCTCCTCTTTCAATAATATTTCAAATTTTTCAAAACAAAAGCATAGCCAACAATGCCCATTGAAACATCTGTTCAGGAGCTTGGTGGGGGTAGGAATAATATAAAAGCAGTACTTATACAGGAAAGAAAAACTGACAATTCTTGATCCTTCCAAAAATGACCACAATTTCCCTTAAAACCCTATTTGCCAATATGGAGGGATAGAAAGCTGTATTAGTCCATTTTCACACTGCTGATAAAGACATACCCGAGACTGGGTAATTTATAAAGAAAAAGAGGTTTAATGGACTCACAGTTCCACATGGCTGGGGAGGCCTCACAATCATGGCAGCAGACCAGAGAGAGAAATGAGGGCCCAGCGAAAGGGAAAACCCCTGATAAAACCATCAGATCTCGTGAGATGTATTCACTACCATGAGAACAGTATGGGGGAAACCACCTGCATGATTCAATTATCTCCCATCAGGTCCCTTCCACAACACGAGGCAATTATGGGAGCTACAATTCAAGATGAAATTTGGGTGGGGATACAGCCACCCATATCAAAAGCACACTCTGTAAGGTATATAATCCATCTTTCCGGTGAATGGTGATGGACATATAAAATTTCAGAGCAGATATAAGCTGGAAAGAAGCTGTACTCAGAAACTGCCCAACAAAACTAAACGTGCCCTGTCACACAAAATTCTACACATGCCAACTGGTTCCAAAGGCAATAGAAAAAAAGATGGTCCCTGCCCTCAAAGAACTTCCAGTCTAAGTCAAAGAGAATGGCCACATAAGCAAGCCACTGTACATTTTAAAGATTTGGTTCTCTATATTGCAAAATGGCCAGATTTTTTCTTACTGCTGGGCATTTTCTTTCCTTTGCCACTTCTGCCTAAAACATTCATTCCTCACCCACCACCCTCTGCCCTCCCAGGATCCACATCATCCCCCTTCCTCATTTGGTTAACCCTACCCACTGCCATTCCTTGCAGGGTTTCCAGGATCTCCTGCTCAAGTTTAGGGCTAGCTGTCATACAACCCATACCACCCCTACAATCATTTGTGTAATGTTGATATGGTTTGGCTGTGTCCTCACTCAAATCTCATCTTGAATTGTAGTTCCCATAATCCCCATGTGTCACGGGAGGGACCCTGTGAGAGGTAATTGAATCATGGGGGTGGTTACCTCCATGCTGTTCTCATGATAGCGACTGAGTTCTCACAAGATCTGATGGTTTTTATAAGGGGCTTCCCTTGCCTTCACTCTGCACTTCTCTCTCCTGCCACCCAATGAAGAAGGAGGTGTTTGCTTCTCCTTCCGCCGTAATTGTAAGTTTCCTGAGGCCTCCCCAGCCATGCTGAACTGTGAGTCAATTAAATGTCTCTCCTTTCTAAATTACCCCGTCTCAGGTATGTTTTTATTAGCAGCGTAAGATCGGACTAATACAAATGTCTTTCTTTCCTGACAGACTGACTATAAGCTCTGTGAGGTCAAGGATCTTGTCAGTCATGTTCACCATGATATTGGATGATTGTCTCCTCTCCTCCACCCCAACTGACAGGACCCTCAGCTGCCAAGTAGAAACTACATAACTCTCATCCCCTTACTACAAGCACTTGGTTGGACCAGGTTTAGACATGTGACCTAGTTGTGCCAACCAGATTTCTTCTCCTAAGAACTTAGAATCAGGACCCAAATGGAACCGTTTCTCTTCTGCCTGTGAATGGAACTGGAGATGAGATAAAGTTGAAAAGCACGAAGTGGCCATTTTCTGCCAAATACCTCAAGAGGTAGAATTTCAAAAACAGAATAGTAAAGAAGACAGAGGCACTAGCAAGAAAGGTTTCCTACCATCCAGACAACTTTCCATGTCCTGATTTCTATTACTCCCTCTCCAAAAAGTTACAAGAAAAGGAATTATAAGCATAGGAGTATCTCTGGGAACCTAAGGGCAACAATGCAGAAGTTCCAAAAGAGGCATATTTCAGTACCTGCCACAGGGTAACACACAGTAGGCACTCAATAAATATTGGTTGAATTACTAGACAAACTGCTGAGCTTCACCTTCCAATTCCTCTTGTGTGAGCAGTGCTTCAGTTTATAAAGGGCTTCCACATGTGTTATCTCCTTAGAGCAACACAAAAGTCCTGGGCATTATTATATCTATTTTATGTACAACTGGCCTTTATCAGAATTCTGTGAGTTCCTCCTTCATAGTGCTTCCCTAACACTACTATATAAACACCAACATTTATCTATTTACAGCAGATAAATGGTTCTATCCCAAGTGCTGGCCCTATCAAAACAATATCAAAAGAGTTCAGATGTAAAAGGCAAAGTATCAAGCTGATTCTCTGTTACTGTTGTTGTTTTAACTTCCTAAACATCTAGGTGAAAGCTTGTATCTAGAAAGGGACTTGTCCTAAACTTCTCTTTGAACGCCCATTCTAAGATGTTAATGTTAAATAAAGCAAAACTTAAAGATACTAAATATTCCTAACACAGCTAAGTACTAGTAGTATCTCTGTATAGGGTGTAACAAGCCACAATCAGAAAATGGTAGCCTTTGAAACCATGTGAGTCAAACTACCAGAATGCCTTTTGGCTAGTCCCTGAAATCTATTTCCATATGTCTTGTGGTTTCAGCAATCAGTGGTCAGGGAGAGGAGAAAAGGCAGCCTCTTTCTAAAGGTTCCAGAAATCAAAGGCCAGTGACCAGATATGAACCGCCAAACCACCGCAGCAACAACCAGTGCTTCAAGCCAAAGCACAACAATCTTCTTAAATTCAGGCAAAAAAAAAAAAAAAAAAGCTACTTCTTTTAGATCTTGTGTGCGGTCACTGAAGACATTACATAACGACAGCCTTTACCCTGTAGCCACACAGACAGCCACTGTGGGACAACAGAACCCAAGTAGAATGACACAAAGAACTCAAGCCTTTTGCCAAAAAGAGACACTGGGAATAGGAGGAGCAAGGAGTCCAGGCATTCTTTCTTTTTGAGACCACACTAACCGTCACCAATCAAAGCCAGAGATCCCAGCCCAACCTCTACTCTAAGGAGATAACACATGTGGAAGCCCTCTATAAGCTCTGAAGCACTCATCACATAAAAGGAATTGGAAGATGAAGCTGAGCAGTTTGTCTAGTAATTCAACAAATATTTATGGGATGAGGAACTAGAAATAACATGTCGTGGGAAGTCTGAGGTACTCTTAAGGATGTACATGGTCTCGGAAGGGAAGACAGCAGTATTCCCTGCTTTCTCTACAAAAGGGAAGTCTGGAGACAGGCCAGCAAAGAGGAGTAAGGATTTGGATGAGAGGAAATGTCTCCAGAAGGCTGATCCCTTACCTTGAGATGCCAGCAGGCATCTGTGAGGATCCCATGCAGTTTTTGTTGTTGTTTTTGAGACAGAGTCTCACTCCATCGCCAGGCTGGAGTGTAGTGGTGTGATCTTGGCTCACTGCAACCTCTGCCCCCCGGGGTTCAAGAGATTCTCCTGCCTCAGCCTCCCAAGTAGCTGGGACCACAGGTGCATGCCACCACGCCCTGCTATTTTTTTTTTTTTTTTTTTGTATTTTTAGTAGAGACAGGGTTTCACTATGTTGGCCAGGCTGGTCTCGAACTCCTGACATTGTGATCCGCCCACCTCAGCCTCCCAAAGTGCTGGGATTACAGGCGTGAGCAACCGTGCCCAGCCCCATGCAGTTTTTTATATTAGGCTACCTGATTCACAAGTGCTTTGTCATCAAATGCCATATTGGCCAAGAGCACATTACCCCCACAGATGGATTTTTAGTCCAGTTCTGCAGAAAAATCTCTCTGTCCCTCCTCTCTGGCCCATACAATCCCAGTCAAAGGCCTCAATGTTACTGAATTAATTCTCTACTTGTAACCACTGGGCCTGCATTAGGATACAGTGATCATCCTCTAAATCCTCCACAGTTTACAACACTGTCCTCATTTAATCTTCAGAGTGGTGCAGAGGCATGTAGGTAATACACAATACTCACACATTAAGGAACTGGGGGTCAGACCACAACGGCTTAGCCCAAAGTCACAGGGTTTCCAGCTCTAAAGTAAATGTTCTTTCCTTCTACTATGCCACAGTTACCACCCTGAACCTCCCACCAATAAGAGGTGTAATTTTGGGCCTTTTGGAAATGTCATAATGGAAGCTACTGCCACTCTTTACAGAAGAAAAGACAAACAAAAGCCCTTTTAAGCACATTTCTGTATAATTTCAATCCTGGACAGCTCACGTAACTTCTATGTACTTACCACTTCCCACGCGTAATGTTGCACGGATTAGAGAGTGCAAGGAACAGGCCCTCGACACACACCAACTTCAGATATGTCTCATTAGGTGATGGCCTAATAGAGTTCAAACCGGGAGCTCTCTGTGCTGAATGAGTTAAGTCTTTCTATCCTCCAGTTACCAAGCAACTAACAAAACTAGTCTTTTCAAGAAAAAAAGAAAAGTGATTTGGGTTATATGACTTGGCACAAAAGCCTTCTGCATTCCAACAACAATCCTTTGAGTTAAGCAATCCCTCAGCTTAAAGCAACCAAAGAGAACAGCTTTTGTAAAAAAAAAAAAAAAAAAAAAGAAAAAGTCATCTATTACTTCATCAAACCACAGCATTTCTTGGGAGGAGGCTACTACTGAAAGCTCACATAGCTGTGAGTCTAAGCAGAGGGCGGAGGTAGGGCAGTATGTCCAAGATTCAAGGCTGCAGCCACCCTGCCAGCCTCAGGACAGAGAGAAGTAGCTTTCACCCTTTCCCCCCTACTCCAGGGAAGCTGTGAGGTTTCTGCTGCTTCTAGACACTGAAGGAACTCATGAGCGAAATGAGGCAGCTACTGCAATGACACCAGGGTCGAGGGGCAACATGAGAAGATAGGCATGACCAGTTACAAAGGATTATCCAAGTAATCTACTATTTAATTGCAAAGGGAT